TCTGTCCTTCTCCTTTCTTCCTTCGATTCTTCCTTCAATTTCTCTTCTTTCCTCTCCTTCCCTCCCTCCCTTTTTTCCTTCCTTCCTTCCCCCTCCATCCCCCTTCCTGCTGTCTCCTCCTTTCCTTCCCTCCTTCTCCTTTCTTCCTTAGATTCTTCCTTCGATTCCTCTTCTCTATTTCCTTTCCTTCCCTCTCTCTCTCTTCCTTTCTCTCTCCATTCCTCCTTCCCTTCCTTCCTTCTTTCCTCTCTTCCTCTCCCTCCATAGCGCCGGCTTACGTCTCCACTTCGCAAACAGCTTCCATTTTACAAATGTCTATTTGTGTTCTGAACGCATTTGTACCCGAGTCCCACGGGGGTTGTACTACACAGCGCACAAAATAATGACAATCCAGACAAAGGCAAAACCATCCAAGGATTGGAAACGCCGGTGCTAAAAATGGCTTAAAATGGGAGCGGGAAAACGAGACCCCCCCCAAATCTTTCTCCCCCAGCCTCAAATCCCCCCAGCCTCCCAACCCGTCTTCTCAACTTACCTGGGAACGAAAAGGGGGCAGAGACTGAATCGAAGAGAGAGTGACCTGTATAGAGTGGTCCTCGACTTACAACTATTCGCTTAGTGACCGTACAAAGTTGCAACAGCACTGAAAAAAGGGACTTAGGCCCGTTCTTCACACTTACGACCATTCTAGCATCCCCATGGTCGTATGTTCCAAAATCCAGACGCTAGGCAACTGACTTGTATTTACGACGGCCGCCGTGTCCCGGAGTCACGTTGATTCCCCTTTTGCGACCTTCCGGCAAGCAAAAAGTCTCTCTCTCTCTCTCTCTCTCACACACACACACATCCTACGACTCTCCATTTAACCGACGTTGGGCTCAAATTGTGGTCGTAAGTCGAGGATTACCTGAAAATTGGTATGTCATGCACACACACACACACACATCCTACGACTCTCCGTTTAGCCGACGTTGGGCTCAAATCGTGGTCGTAAGTTGAGGATTACCTGAAAATTCACAGGTATGTCACACACACACACACACCCTACAATTCTCCATTTAACTGATGTTGGGCTCAAATTGTGGTCGTAAGTCGAGGATTACCTGAAAATTGGTATGTCATGCACACACACACACACACACCCTACGATTCTCCGTTTAATCAACATTGGGCTCAAATTGTGGTCGTAAGTTGAGGATTACCTGAAAATTCACAGGTATGTCACACACACCCACACCCTACAATTCTCCATTTAACTGATGTTGGGCTCAAATTGTGGTTGTAAGTCGAGGATTACCTGAAAATTGGTATGTCATACACACACACACACAAACACACACACACCCTACGACTCTCTGTTTAACCGACGTTGGGCTCAAATTGTGGTTGTAAATCGGGGATTACCTGAAAATTCACAGGTATGTCATACACCCCGCCCCCCCACACACACACCCTACGACTCTCTGTTTAACCGATGTTGGGTTGAAATTGTGGTCGTAAGTCAAGGATTACCTGAAAATTCACAGGCATGTCATACACACACACACACACACACACACACCCTACCGACTATAAGGAGAGGATAATTCAGCCGTTGCACAAACTACACACCAGACAACCAGAATCCGCACACCAACACCCACGTGTGTGCAAGGAGTGTGTCGTGACCCCCCCCCCATTGAACAAACCTCGTTGTGGGAGGAAATCCGGGGAACGTGGCGATTAAGGCTTAAAAGCAAAAAAAAGAAAGAAAGGAGGAAGAATTAATTACGGCACAATTGAGCTTCTAACCAACCACCCCCTGCGTTTTTTTCCCCTTCATAAAACCCCCGAAAAAGGAAAACAGAGGGGGCTTAAACGCATGTGCTGTTTAAAGACGGATGAACTAAGCTGGCCGTGCGCCCCGGGGGTTTCACAAATACCCTATTCAGGCACAGCGGGTTGCGAACACATCGCCTGTGATGGCAGGAGCAGAAACAAACGCAGCATATGGAATTGCCCTGTATGGAGAGAGGGGGAGGAAAAAAAAACACCACGGCTGCCATTTCCCCTGAGGCGGGAAGGGGGGGGGGAATCTGAGCGTTCGTCGGCAGGAGAGGAGTTCCGCTTTGCGCCGATTCCTGCATTCCCACAAGCGGGAATTTATATTGTATGGGTGGGCTTCCACTCCCAGAATCCCCCAGCCGGCATGCTTAAAGAGGGGAGGACTTCCACTCCCAGAATTCCCCAGCCAGCAGCCTTTAAGAGGGCTGGACTTCCACTCCCAGAATCCCCCAGCCAGCCTGCTTTAAGAGGGGTGGGTTTCCGCTCCCAGAATTCCTTGATTTAAGAGAGGCAGCCAAGTGCGTGAATTGGCTCAAGACTGGACAAGCCCAATTCCTGCAACTGGTTCTTCATATGTTTTAGTCTCCAGGTCTTTAATCATCATCTTATAGTTGCTTTTCTTTGCATTTTTACACCTCTGTATGTTGAACGGACATGAAGCGAATCAGCATTTTTTTAAAACAGGAATTGCTGAAGAAAGTTTTAACTGTGGGCCAGAGACAAGCAGAGGAGGGCACAGCACAAAATATACAGGCTATGGCATGTTAGGTTGATCCGGGGTGGAGCAGGATTTGCACGTTTGTTCCAAACCACGATTCCACAGTTTGCAGCGGAATGCTCTAAATTCCATACTGTGGCACAAGGCTTTCATGCAAAACATGTTT